TTCCTTCTCCTGTCCTTAACCCCCCTCTTCCAGCAGCTGGCTGCTCACTGCCCCACTGAATCCACGTAGTTGCCCCACTTATTCCAGAGCATAATCTGCCTTGCTAGTCTCAGAATTAATTGCCCACTTATACACTCCACTATGTTTACTTTTGGGCTCTCTTGTGATCTGCTGTTATGTTTTAGCTTTTCATGTATAAACCATCCTAAATGATGTAGGCTAAATGCATTGGCCAGACTCCAGAAGATTGTAAACATCCACAGTTCAGTCACGAACACTTTTTCTGTGCTAGCATGGATTTCTTTGCGTTCTTTTGCCATGAATCAGGCTGAATTTTCCATCTTCATCATAATAGCAACTCATATGTCCATTGGTGTTGATGACATGGGATAAAGGATTAGTAGTAAACAAGATGCACATGGCCAAATTGCATTGAAGCCAATGGAGCTTCAGACAGTCTTGACTCAGCCATTCTACACATAGATAATTACAATCCATTCAGAGATTCAAAGATGGGGAAGCCTGTATTTCTGATTGCTCCTATACATAAAAAATGTCAGCGTATAATCAAGTGAGACAGTCTGAAAAGAGCTGTATGGCCAATTTTTTCAGCAGGTGGGGTTTTTTTGAGGAGAAGAAACGTTTGGTTAATGTGGAAGAGATTTCAGAAAATATCGCCTCCCCGCCAACAATCAGAAATGGGACATTTCAGAACTATTTCACTCTGAATAATGTGTAGCCATTGGTGTGTTAAGGAGGCAGGGGGATCAAGAAAGTCAAGATGGCAGCTTCAGTCTCATGGATGCATCTGCCATCTTGACTTTTTTGGTGCCCCTACCTTCTGCGGGCACCCTCGTAGCCGTGGACTGCTCCATTGCCTTCGGTATGACTCAGGTTTTGTTCTATGCAAAAGGGTCTTATTCCTTCTACTACATCAGATGGCAGGCTGGAGTTCACAGGAATAAATATTTTCCTTAAAAAAAAATTTACACTATAAAGCTACATATGGAGCCAAAAGGTCCAGACTCAGCATTTTCTCTTTGTTTCCTATTTGCAAGATGTAAGAATGACTATATACTATCGTGTGAGTCATATCACACTTGAAATAGTACTGCCCAGATGCAGTACTTACTACTTGTGTAAATACTTGGTACATAGGTAGGACTTGTGATCACAATTGCATACAAATGAAAAAAAACTGGGAGCATTGACTTCCACATAATATTTATAGCAAAAAGATTGAATTCTGTATTAATCTACTGGTTTTATTAGAAAGTTTTTCACAAGCTAAAGGTAAATAATTTCAAGATTACCACAGAGTACAGAAATCTTCCCAAACATTCAATGGGGCTTTTTAGCTGAACTGCACCTTCCAAATTAATTTCAAATAATTGGGAGTGGAAGAAGATCTCTTTGTGATTATGCAAAAATTGGATTTTTGGCATTTTCCTTTCTTTGCTCATTGTGTACCTCCAATACCATTCACAGTAAGTTTACCCATGAAAGACCATTATTTCAAGCTTATATCTTTCAAGGCTATGCACCAAACAGAAGAGCACTGAACATTTTTTTTTTTATTTAGAGAGAAAAGAGGCAGTGGGATGTAAGTAACTTAGTTTCATCTTATTTTTTTTAAAGAGCAATAATTTACAAATGTTGTATTACAGGCCATAACCAAATTTCACCACTGGCAGTGTTAAGAGAATAGTTGAACTGGATAGTGGGAATTCAAGCCCTCACTTAACATAGCTTAAGCATATCATTGAATTCTTACCAGAACAATTTTTCAAACCCAGGATAACTGCTTTTCAGGAAGTTTATTTGGGAAATCCAAGTTCTCCTTGAAGCACTGTATAAGAAAGATAATTGTTGTGTAAATTTTACCTGTTGCAAGCAGGCTGGTTTGTAAAGGATGTATGTTTTTGGTGTTAAAAAAGTTTATAAAATAATGTATATAATAATTTTGAAATTACTGGGCTTTTGTAGATATTCAATGCCAATCAGGTTGCTTTTAATTTTTGTTATTTGTGTTCATTTGTGTAAAGTCATCCGTGTCAGGTTAATCATGTAAAGTAAAATCAACAAAAAAGACTTCTTAGTTGCTTGAGGAGGTTCTTCAGTTTTCATTTGGAACAGCTGTTTTCTGTTAACTTCTGTTTCTGAGAAACTGCTTTCTAACTTTTCTTTCTTTCTTTCTTTCTTCAGATGAATGTGTTTTTTGTGCAAATGCAATTACAGACATTTTCTAATGTCATTTCTGTTGGCATTTAAAAGATTCCTCCATTATTCCACCCTATAACAAACTTATGCAAAGGGAAGATTATCACTTGAAATGAATCTTATCCCTTATTGCCTAACACATTGGTTGTTCATATTTCCTGTTGGCAGTATTGTCTTGTGTTATTTTGCTATTAAAAAAGAAAAAAAGAAAAAAAGTGTACAGGTTTGTAACTGCCAAAATTTGCTAAATTGATCGTTAAAACCAGTTTTCAATTAAAAACACACAGTTTTTGCTGACTCTTCCTTGATTTCTTTCATTGGGATACATTCTCACTTTACAGTAAAAGGTTCTCAGTGGAAAAGTTGACATGTTGTTACTAGTTGTTTTAGTTGTCCAAGATTCTGGAGGTCTCTTTGGTACCCTCAGCTTTTCACTCATTTTCTAGGTATCATTTCTCTCCCGCAGCTAGACCCTAGCTTATCTATGAAGTTAATACTTTGTATGGAAAGATCCTAGGTTTAGGCTGGAGCATTTCCAGTTGAAATGTTTTGATGA